AAATTCTGAGACTAATAGTATGTCTAATTCACAAAAAACTTTCTTGTTAAATTTCCTCTTGTTAATCGATCAGTAGCAAACACGCTAACTAGCTCAATGTTTAGCTTACTAACTTAATCACAAAAGTGATTCTCTTTTTGAGTACTTCACTAACTAACATATATCATTACTCGTTGTTTTCTTGTTACACGAAACTTCTAGATTTTTTACTTTCATGAAATGTTTAGACGTCATCACATGCCCTGTCTAGCAACAAACATAAATAATTAAAATATTGAAAATATAGCCTACAACAGTATCTATATAATTTGAAACTGTATAACTGTAACTTCTCTTGTTAACAATAAAATAGTGCATTAGTGAACGTGAGTCATGAGGTCGATTACAATACAACAGCGCTGAGCTTGCATTACAGCAAGCAGGTTTAGTAGTTGTACAGAATTATCTGCCACAACGCAACGTCATCATGGAATATCATCTTCCTTTTTGGGAATCCAAGATTACATGCTCATTCGCAAGTAATTTTATTGGATATTTTTTATCCAGGGAATTTCTAAATTTGAAAAGTGAAACGTAGCAGACTGCAATTACATTAATGCAGTGAAACAAAATTGAAAACAAATCCCAAACCTGTACCTGAGATTTAGTTGTTTAAAAAATAACACTCGGAAAATGCAAATTTGGTTTCACATAGAACAGTAATACATCCGTGATTATGTGTAATAGTATTTTGAAAATTGCTTATGTTTCAGCTGTGCATACAAATATTCCTGGCCTTTCAAACATGTTATAATGTTTCAGCAAATAAAAATCTTACGTCACTACGTGAGTTATTAAACGTTTTTGAACAAATACAATGAATGTCCAAAAATCTGACAACGTAGATTTTTCTACATCACTGTGGGGGATTGTACATTTATATATTTTAAGTTCAGACTATATTTCCCTAAAATAAATGTTTCATTGAATACTTAATTTGCCACTTTTATTAAAAAGGACTCGAGAACTAGCAAGACATGCAAGGCTTCAAAGAAGTTCAGTCTAGGAAGATTATATACTCGAATATGAAGTTGTTTGCCAATACGATCACCACGTCATCCCCTTATCCAGCAAAGGCCCCGGTATGGCCAGGTGGTTAGGGCATTTGACTCACAATCTGCGGGTTCGAATCCCCGTCACACCAAACATGCTCGCTTTTTCAGCCGTGAGGGCGTTATATAGTGACGGTCAATCCCACTATTCGTTGGTACACGAGGGCTATCTGCGCTAGCCATCCCTAATTTAGCAGTGTAAGTCTAGAGGGAAGGCAGTTAGTCATCACCACCCACCGTCAACTCTTTTACCAACGAATAGTGGGATTGACCATCACATCATAACTCCCCCACGGCTGAAAGGGTGAGCATGTTTGGTGTGACGGGGATTTGAACCTGCAACCCGCAGATTGCGAGTCAAGCACCCTAACCACCTGGCCATGATTATATATTATAAGTGAATAATATTACCATCATTATACCAAATAACTACCTCACTTTTTTAAACAATATGCCATCATTATAAAGTTATATTTTAAATTTTATAAAATAGTAGCATTTTGTTGCATAAAATTGAAGGATATTATAATATGGCAAATAAAATCACTTACCTATAAATGCTTCAGTGAGCAAAGAAGAACACATTAAGCTTATATATTTTATATATATAAAATATTTACAAGATATGTAAAAAAGGTAAGAAATACTGGGCTAAGACACTTATACAATAAATATAGTTTTTTTTTATTTAGGTTGAACCCTCAGTCATCCTGAAGTCCATCAGTAGAGATGTAATTCTAAGACTTGTCTGTAAGCAGATGGGGAGAATTTGGAGCCTAAATTTTTAATCCAAAAAAAAATCTCTGTTAATATTACGTGGGTATTTACAATATATAATACAAGTTTTTCATTATTTGACTTAAAAAAATAAGCGGTCAACTGAATGACTTACCAACCCTGCTGTTTTTGAAATTCCCAAGAACAAACTGTGTTTCCATCACTTTTATATAAGGCAGAAAAAAATATATATCAAATTATAGTCACCAGTCATCTAATACATAAGCTGAGGATTGCAATAACATTACTTAACATCCATTCTGTGGGTCAGGGAGACACGTATGGTGCACTAGTTTCCAAATAACACTTTCTGGTATTGTCTCTTCTTTTTTGTAAATCTTTAATAGAGAGTTGAACTCTTTGTTATACCTGGAATCTGAACTACCAACCAGTGTGGCTGAATTTGTATTACTTTTTAAGGCTACGAAGAAGTAGAACCCATATCCTCATCCAAAATTCCATACAAAACATGATAGTGGCAACATGCATTGCACAATACATGATCTAATTACTCAACTCTATAAATCTGTTTTCTCGACAGTTTTCAAACGTTCTGTTGATAGAAATGACTGAGGAAGTTTTAATGAAACTTACCACTGTAAGGTAGCTAAGTGCAGTACCTGCCTGAACATGAATGCTTCTACTATTTTGCTTTTGTTTTTAATTTTGCACAAAGCTACATGAGGGATACATGTCTCTAATTTAGCAGTGATAGACTAGAAGGAAGGCAGCTAGTTAACACCACCCACCGGCACTCTTGGGCTACACTTTTACCAACAAACAGTGGGATTGAACATCACATTATAATGCCCTCATGGCTGAAAGAGCAAGCATGTTCAATGACAGGGATTTGAACCCATGACCCTCAGGTTGTGAGTAAAGCACCTTAACCACCAGGCCCACTATTTTGTGCAAGAGGAACACAGTCCAGCCAACCCCCTAAACTCTCTATCTTTTTGACCAAACACTATTGAGAGTTAATTATTTTGGCAGTAAAGCCATCTATGGAAGTATTTTTGTTTGGTTCTAACTTGAATACCAGAAACTATATCACTCTGTAGCCCCACCCAATTTTCTAAATTCGGTCTCATCAAGTCGCAGACTGGACTTTAATAACAAAAATTTTGTATTCTTAAAGCTGGAATTTAAAAAACTGATTTTCCTTAACTATCTTCAACAGTGAACTATTGAAATTCACATCCATGAAACTACCTCATACTTCTCTCTCAAGCTTGTTCATACATTGAACTATCTCATGAACATCAATAAAAAAAATACTACATCATAAGAGCTACAAATATATAATTTATTAGGTTTAGTTAGCCATATGTCTATTACAGGGTAGTACTGTATTCATTTTTTAATTGTTGATTTGTAATTTGTTGTATGGTTTTAAAATACAAAACAAATCAATTATTATGTTAAGTGTTTGACCTTTTGTAAGTGATATTTGGAGAGTTTAAGGCTAGTATGTAGTATGTTTGTTGAATAAAAAGGATTAAATACTTTAGATTAATTTTGCAGCATCCACAAACTACAGAACATAAAGCAAAAATACAAACAAGAGAGTTACTTCATAAAGATCACAAATGTTTAATGATGTCTTTTTTTGTATTGTGCTCTTAAACAATTTAAAGATTCATTGTCATAATTTGAAACAATTTTCATCCCACTAATCAACGTGAAGGGGCGATTAAGCTCAACCTGAATGGCACCTTATGCAAATATCGATGAAACGGCCAGGGCACAGACCTCTAGAATTCAGTTATAGACATCTCTAATTTGGAAGTACTAACTACTAGGAAGGCAGCCAGGCAACAGCACCCACTGCATCAAAGGCTATGTCTGGCTCGATTAAAAGTAATAACAGTATTGACTGTTACTTTTATATCATGCTCACAGTTGAGAATGTTCAGAGGGATAAGATATCCAACCTAGGACCTTCTGATCTGCAGCCCACAACGTGACCACTTAAAAGGTTTATATCCCAATAGTCTCAGTTTTTACTTCAGACACTCTACAGTCAACATGTGGTAACATATTCATTCTGAACATTTTAAACTCTTCTTTAAAACTAGTCTAGATATTTTTAACTATTCTTAGCTTGGATTCCAGGCGACCACATTTCAACATTCTTAAATCTCAACCCATGTAATACAAATTCAAAGTTGTTCGGTCAGTTGACTCTTTAAGCTCTTATACTCTATCCTATGCCTGCAGTTTATCTAAGCATTTAAATGTCAAATATTATCATTCACTAAAAGTGATAAAATATAGGCAACGAATTACTGAAGCATTCCAATTCAATAACGATGTGATGAGAACACAATATAACATTTAACCCCCACATTTGTAGCCATTCCAAATACAGCAGTAATACATCTGTAACTAAAAAAAAAAAAACAACAACAAGAAATCAGACCAAGTTTCTCAGTCATAGTAAGAGCAAGTACAGCATTTTACAAGATCTCTGATCCTTTTATTGATAACTTTAAATGTCAATGGTAATAGTTTGCATCAAGGTAATTCCAAACACAAAGTAAAGTCTAGTCAAATATCGCATTTGCAAAAAACTCAGTTGATGCTTAGAATTATAGAAGTCTCAATCTTATAGGAAAACTTTAAGGTAATTGAGTTTTACTTATTTGATCTTCTACCATTATATGACAAGCACTCAGGATTTTAGCTAAATAAGTAACTTATCAGTTAGTATACTAGTGATGATTAGGACACTGTCTTATAAATTAAAAACCAAGATTAAAGAACAAAAAAAGTGGGAGGGAGAAAATTAGCCTAAAATATAAATTGAAATATGAATTTAAGAAACAGTCTCTAATTTAATAGCAATGGAAAGTGCAAAGGGGAGTTTCGTTTTGTACATTTTTACTTAACTGAAACAATTAACACATAACTTGAGATCTCAACGACATCTAATAAGTCTTAGGTTTTAAGCAAACTCGATACACATTTGTCTCTGTCATCTATTAATGTCATATAAAGTAAAATATTTTTCTAGGTTATTATTTGAAGAAAGCCAACACCCAATATGTTCTTATTAGTAATTTTTTTTAACCATTTGTGTTCAATTTTGAACGTTTGTCATATATGATAACAAAGAATGCTCGATTCAAATTCAAGAAATGCTAAAATCAATCATTTATTTTACAAACTGTACAATGAACACAAACTTTCAAAAAGACAAAAAGAAATGCTTAATTTTAAAAATTAAAATAAGACTTTTCAGCTACATATTATCTTTTTTTGTATTCCAACACACACACACACAGGTTTTCAGCTTAAGCAGGTCAGGCAGATGGCATGTTCTTCGTATTCGTTATACCTACAATGGAAAATACGTTGACAAATGAAAGTAACTGTATTTTATTATCAATGTATTATCTACAATTACTTGAGATAAGTCTTCAAATTTGAAAAACAAATCAAGTTTTAAAAATTAGCCAAAGAGTATAAGTTTGACAACATTAACATACCATGATGTTTAGGGACAACAAGGACCTACTGGTTTATCCAGGCCAGGGATTTGCAACCTGGGGCTCTTTAAAGAGATTTGTGCAGCTTTCAGGCTATCTGCTGTGTCCCCCAAGAGGAATCGAACCCTTGATTTTATTTTTTTTAGATGAAACCGTCGGGGCATATTGAGGCTCTCAAAATGTTTTGGTCTTAGACAAAAACAAAAAATATGTCTCTTCTATCTTGAAGGGTTGCCAACTATTAATCTAGGCTTTCCCATCCTCTAAACTAAACTAAAACTATCAAATAAAACCTCAAAGCCAGCCCTTATCATTCATCTAGTTATCAAGCTTTCTCTTAAACTCACTTAAATGTATTGCCTTCACAACATCTGAAGGAAAACCATTCCAAAGGCCAACCACCCTGTTAGAAAAATAAAACTGTCTTAGCTGAAGAAGACTCCTACCATGCCAAAATTTATATTTG